CTTGAGGTACCCCTTGTTTTGCACCTTGATTTATACCTAGGCTCCTGGCCCTGAGTTGAGTTGAACATATAGGCAATTCTTCTTCATGTCCCTTCAAAACATGTCCCTTAATGGCTATTGATTCTATGCTTCTTGACACTGCCGAGATTTCCCAGAGTTCTCCACACACCTTCATGTGTGGACATGATAAATAACTCTTCTAACAACAAAAAGTTAACAAGGCCTTGAGTTAATTCAACAGGGTCACCATCTGGGAGCCATCAGAAACAGAACTGTCAGCGCTGTAAACATTGGAGGCTTCATGGAAGACACTGACTCTTTCTAAACTAATCAGTTCTGCCAGTCAAGATTTGCAGCAGAGATTCGAGAACGAGACATCCATTTAACAACAATAACAAAAACAGTGAGGACGAAAACCGTACAGTCATAATAACAAGGGGCCTAAAAGCAAACTGTGACTTCCCTAATAAGGCAGAGACCCAAGTTGGCTCCCTGGCGGTCAAGCGCCAATACAATTAATCAGTCTGTTTCCAGTTTTCTTGCGACAGCAATATTAACAGTTTGCTTTACTCTGTTTATATGGTGCTGACAGGTCTTCGGCATGTTGGGCCTACTTGCTGGTGATTAATGACCACTCTCATTCTGAAGTAAAACCAGGGAGGAAGAAAATGCCTTTTATGACTAGTTAGGCACCGAAGCCTCCGTATTTTGTTGTTGTTTCCCTGCTACCCATCAGCACCTTCCTCTGTCAACCTCTTCATATATGTGTGAGAATATTCATTCTCCCCTAACTGGCTCAGCTCCCTTTCCCTGCCCTGAGATGCTCTGTCCTCTGCTCAAAAGGACCCTAAAATGCACACCATAAATGAGCCTGGCATCTCGAAAGGAATTGTTGGCTCATTTTGTTCTTAAAAATTTCATTTTGATAGAAAGAAATGAAAGAACAGGTGTGAAATGGCTCTGGAAATGAGAATTTTAGCTTATTAAGTAGGTAACAATTCCCTCTCATATTCACAGCTGTATTTACAGACAAAGAAGACAGCAGAGCTGAAATTATATACTGACTGCTGCAGGAAGCATTGTCACAGAAAGTCTGAGAGATTATTGCATTAAACAGTCACAGTTCAATAGAGGTCAAAAGAGTTGAAATAATATAAAAGGACCCACTGTGTCCAGATACTTTCCTTTATAAAAGGAAAGCTGTATGAGTACTATTCATCACTAATATATTGATCTTTTTTCTTTGCTTTTTACTTACTTTGTGTACAGGTATGTTTGTGTACACACACGTTTGGACCACGGGATGCATGTGCAAGCCTAAGGACAAGTTTTAGCGTCGGATCTTTCCTTTACCACGTGGGTTCTGGGATTGAACTCAGGTTCTCAGACTTGGAAGCAGGTGCCTTTACCCACCTTGCCACCCTTTGTCTTCTGTTGGTCGTTTGTTGGTTTAGACAGGGTCTTACAATACAGCCCTGGCTGACCTCATCATCTCTATGTAGCACAGAACGGCTTTGACTCTACTCTTCCTGCCTCAGTGTCATAAATGTAGGGATCACAAGTATGTGCCACCACACCCAGTCACCAAACATTATTTTATTTATTTTTACTGCACTTTATTTTATTGTGACAGGATCTCTAGTAGCCCCAGCCAGCCTTGAATATACTATATAGCCAAGATAACCTTGAATTCCTGATCCTCTTACTTCTAATACCTAAGTCCAGGGATTCAGGTATGCACTATCCCCAACATCGTCTTAACAGTACCTAAGTGTAGGGGACCTAACAATATGAAAATTAAACAAAAAAGAATGGGCTTTTTGTGAGGTTTTCTAGGAAACACTATCTCAGTACTTGCTCTCAGGGTTGGTCTGCCACACTCAGACCCTGGCAGCTTTCAAGCCCACTTCCCTGCATGCTTGCCTCCTCATGCAGCAACAGAACTGATCAGTTCAGGCAGAGAGGACATCAGGAGTCTTTTCAGTGAACACTAAAGTCAGATGCAAGAACAATCTGATGTGAAAGCGCTGCTAATAACAACAACTCTATATTCTGAGTGCCTACTATGCACCAGCACTGCTGGAAATGCCTGTTATGCAAACATGTTTCATTCCCACAACGGTGACTGTACTGAGTACAACAACAGTCTTGGTTCGAAGTGCAGAGTATGAGAGAGAGCTGAACAAGATACTTGGCTATTTGGGCAGACTTTAGCCCGTATGTCACTTTAGTAGTGGACCTAACGTAAAGGTCTGACTAGAGAGGGAAGTGACACTAGCTAGACTAGTTCTAAAGGTCGCAACCATTCTGGGAGAGGATAATTTAACAGTTATCTCAGAAGCTGAAGTAGACATTTTTTAATATAGCAAAATTGAACTTTATCAAGAAAAGGTTTCAAAAATAGATTCCAGCCTGAAAGGGAGAAAGGAAAAAGACTTACTTAAGTGAACTATACTATATACCCTAGAGTAGCCTGACCTTCCAAAGAGAGCTGCCCGACTAAACATTTTGACTCCTTTAATCAGTTATTTCTCTAATGTATTCATTCAAACTCTGTAGGTCTGGATGGATTGGTTGGTTAGACATCTTGGTAAGAGACCAATAGGGAAACAAGGAAAAACTAACTGTAAGATCTCTTCCTTACACTTAGCAGACGACTGGGCTCACTCACTGTTCAGTGGTCTCAAGGGACATTTAACACCCATCTGTGCTTTTCTTCCTTCCCAGCCTGTCCGTCTAGCCACTCAAAACTATACATGTTGCTTTGTGTAATGGCTATGAGCAAGCCCAGAAGAAATAAATGAGTAGAAAGGAAAGGAGGGTTGCTGTCTTCATTCTCATGGTTTGGGAATAGCCACTCAAGGCCTTTGTCCTAAACCCCCACTTCTCCCTTGGTGGCCTGGCTATAAGGCATAGCACCCTGTGGCAAACCACTGGACTGCTGAAGTGGAGGCTATTAGTCATCTGTTAAGAGAAGAAGCCTTTTATTTAATTTGCAAATGCATGCCCTATTTGGGATACTTCAACCAAAGCTAAACATTATACTGGAAAGATATCTAGTAGGATTCCCATGTGCATATGTTCATTATCATCCACAAATATAGCCACAAGAAACATAAGCTCTGAGCAAAGCCAAAAAGTACTGAGGTATCAAATAAGAATATTTTGATGACTAAAAAAAATCTTGATTCTAATTCAGTTGCTAAATGAATTGAAGACATAGAATTCTACTGTCTTCCAAAGAAAGTCCTGAGACTTTTTTTTAAGGTATATTTATATTTATTTCACGAATATGGTTGTTTTGTCTACAAGCATGTATGTACACCATGTGTATGAATTGCCTACCAGAAGGGCATAGGATCCACTGGAACTAGGGCCACTGGCAATTGTCAGCTGCCAAGCTGGCTGCTGGGAGTCAAACACTCTGAAATATAAGCCAGTGATTCTGACTGCTGAGCCATCTCTCCAACCCTACAAAGGAGCTCAAAGCTTTTAAAACTAAGATCTGTCTAGATTATATGAAAATAATATAATGAATAATAAAATAATGAAGTAATGTGGGCTGTCCTTCTGTATATGCGCTGCTTTTACTGGTTGATGAATAAAGTTGTTTGGGCCAGTGGCTTAGCAGAGTTGAGCCAGGCAGGAAATCAGAACAGAAATATAGAAGAGAGTAGGCGGAGTCAGGGAGATGCCATGTAGCCACTGAAGGAGACAGACACCAGATGGAACCTTACCACAGCCAAATGGCAATATACAGATTAATAGAAATGGGTTAATTTAAGATGTAAGAGTTACTTAATAGTTTCTGTGTGATTGTTTTGGGTCTGGAATCCAGGAAATGAATGAGCAGCCTCCATCTATAAGTAAGTGTCTATTATCTTCTGGAAAAACCACTATGTAACTGAATGAGGAGCGTCTCACTCCCTGGCAGCTGCCTTTGCATTATCATAAGAGCCCCTTTCACTGTCTACACTGAGTTCTTTCTGCAATGTCTTCTTCAGGCCTAGGGTCATGTCAGTTTCTTTGGATCTAATTGAATCTCAGATTGCAAGATCTATTATTTTGATTCTTCCCAAAGGCTCTTATGCATGTTGGTTGACTACCAAAAACATTTACTAATGTATGTGGCTTATCATTTCTATTAAATCGAAAAAAATCAAAAGGTATTTTAGGGACTTATGCATGCCATCAACAATTATTTCAAGTATAAACTGGTATATATGGCATAAATATGTCAAAGGTGAGAATTTAAATGCTCATAAAACACAACTGTAAAAGAAGAAATTTTATGAGACTAAGCACATTTTAACTTCATTTTAAACATGAGAGTTTGGCTTGGCCCTGTGTGTTCTATGAACCATGAGCTGATTCAGAAGGGCAGCCCATACCAAGTGCAAGGTGAAGGGCGGAAGACTAGGTCATGCACTCTGATACCAAGTGCAAGGTGAAGGGCGGAAGGCTAGGTCATGCACTCTGATACCAAGTGCAAGGTGAAGGGCGGAAGGCTAGGTCATGCACTCTGATACCAAGCTTTTCTGCCTGCGCAGTTACAAAGTTTGTATATTTGGTTTTGTACAGACAAAAATATTTGAATAATCATGTTTCCTATTAAAGGGCCTTTTAGTTGTGAAATATTTCAAACCTGCTCATTTACTGACGGTAAAAGGTAAGGAAAGCCTAGGAAAGCTCTGGGACTGATCGTATGACTGCGAAAGTCCCCTTACATTAGCATCCTGGCAGGGAAGGTTTTCCCGCTCTGGGTACTCATTCATGGACTCAAAGCCTTGAGCTAGGCTGAGAAGTGATGTTCGTTTTTGCTTGGATCAGTTGACTGAGGTGCTCCCAGGAGAAAGTAAAATGAGTCAGGGGCAGGAGGTGGTAGAGGGAGACACTCAGACCTGGGGTGGGCTGCCTCGGAAAGGTGCCAAAGGATGTCTGACCACCATCCCGGGCAGACAGGAAAAACAAGCCCCCGTGGGCTGGCGTCTGTGACTTACCTGCGGCGCAGGTCCTCCGCCACTGCCGCCCGGCAGCTGAACAAATAGGCTCGGAGTGATTTCAACTGTTGCCGCAGCCGCACGACAGTGGCCAGTGGCTCTGCGTGGAGGTACAGCATGGGATTCTCCTGCTGGATGTCGATCAGCGGCTCTTCGTACACATACTCTAGAAACTCCTTGGCCTGCTTGGACACCTGCAAAACAAACTCTGGTCGTCAGTGCAGCCTGCTCTGCCTGGGAATCACACCTTGGTGACTAAGCAGTAGTGTTTCTGTACACGCTACGTGAAGAGGCCCACAGAGAAGCCAAACAGGGCAGCTTCTCTTTTCACCTTACAGAAGCTCAACTGGCAAATGTGGAAGAAATTCATTAACTCAGTTAGCTCTATTGTGCTAGTAATTATATGAGACCATACCTGAGACTGCACAGAACTACACAGATCCACCACACCAGTGTCATGGTTCTGTTTTGTTTGGTTTTATAAATCCTACTGTGGTGACTAAGATGTGACCACAGGAGAAAACTAGGTGAAAGGTACTTAAATACATGTTCAGTTTCCTGTGAATCTGTAATTATTTTAAGCAATGTGGGAAAAGAACTCATAGTCTTTAAAAACTACATAAATAAATGTGCATGTACATATACTCTATGATACTTTAAAAAAGTATTTTTTAAAACAGAAAAATTACACACATTGTGAAATATTAAAACAAAGAAATTGGTGTTCTCAAGAAAAGAAAAAAAAGAAGGAGGGAGGGAGAAAAATTATGAGGAAGCAAAATTGCTAAATAGAAATGGCCCAAAGAGAAGACGCCTGAGCAGAACTCCCGTGGGTGTGGGCAGACTGCTGCCAATATGTCCGTCCCACTCGTTAATCCTTGAATGCTTTTTAAAATAGCATTGTTCTAGTAGAGGTCAGTGGTGCATCGGAAACACAGCGGAGCGGAGAAACCTAACTAACGTGGCACACTACCACACGTGGGCAACTGGACTCTCACCAAGCCGGTTTGCTGATACTCGGGTGTCAACTGCCTAGTGCTACACAGGGTAGGCTGAGCCTCTACTTGCGGAAGGTAAACCTCTCCAGAAGTTCCCACTAACCCTCTCCAGAAGCAAAGCTAGGACTGAGCACTAAAATAAGGAACTTTGTTCATTAGAAAGAAAATTGGAAATTCACTAGGCTTTACACTGCACAGCAGAACTCACTGTTACAGAAAGGGAATTCAAGGGGATTTTTAGTCCAAAAGATAAAGACTCCAAACAAAATCCACATGCAGTCTGCCATCACTAGAGCCACGGGGCTCACAGGTGGCTTAAAGGGGAGGACTCGCTCTCCTGGGGAACAGGAGCTGGGGGCTGGTGAAGCAAGCGACACAGGACTAGCTCTGGAGTTACAGGTGGAAGCACAGATGGACAGAGCGGACAGGGAAGCACGAGGGGACAACACAAAATCACCAGGTCCCAGTGGATAATACGGAAGTGTGATTCTAGACTAGAGGCTATTAAGCACTAATTAAAAATATGCTACTTACACACAAACATAAAGCACAGCATCACCATCTTCTTAAAGTGGAAAAGCTCACAACTAAGTTTATATTTCTTACAGGGCTAGAAAAGTGTACTACGTGTGTGTGTTTCTAAGTGATTATTTGTAAGATATCTGTGTACAGTCTGACCCCATGAGATCCTGCAGAGAGTAGTAAAGTTAAAGGATCTTAATAGACTGAAAATCCAGGTTACAAAACAGCCCCCAGAATCAGTCAAGAGCTTTAACTGCTTTACCAGGTCAGGAACAACAAGGTACCAGAGTGCAGCTGTGAGGCAAAGACAGCACAGCAGGCCAGGCCTTCAATGATAACAAAGCAGCCCGCCTGCCCTCAGGCACCTCAACAGCTCCAGCTCCAGCTCCATGCAGAAAGACAAAATTGAGTTGTTTCTGAATTACATGTTATATTTACTTGTGTTTAAATATCTGCTGCACTTAAATATCTTCAAATGAGGAAAAATGCCTGATGTTGTTCAGGGAAGTGAAGTACAATCCACTTGAAACTGCTGCTAAAAAATGATGTATTGTACAATTCAATTAGTCTTTCTGGGTGTACAGAACACTGTTTATAGTGAGTCAGGGCCAGCTGAATTAGGTTAACAATGCTACCTTTTAGTAGGTGAACAGAAGGACAAAGGGCACTGGACAGTCTCCCAGGCCTTAAAAGGCTTCTCTCTTCAGGTGCTACTTAAGTCCAAAAGCAAAAGGGGGGAATCTCTTACAGACACATAAAAGCAGGGGGAGGAACAGGACAGCAGCTACTGACAGCAGTGTTCATAAACTGAAATGACAAAAAAAAAAAAAAAAAGAGAAACAGAGCTGGCTTCAGACCCATCCACGGAGCTGCCTTCCTCCCTCGAAGGGCACCCCTGACAAGGCTGCCTGGGTGTGTGGACACAGCTCTGCTGCTGCGGCCATTTTTTGGCAACAAGGCTGAACTTATGGTCTAGGTCTTCAGAGTCCAGATCCATTGATTCCACTCCATTCACAAAACTGGTGAGGGAGTTTTTAGGAAAATTTGGTATGAAATAAATGCTAGTTTTGCAAAACAGAGCTTTATAATTAATCCCTTTCTGATTCCTTGAGCTTTCAAAGTTTTCCTCCCTATATTAGCAAGATGATTTAACACTCAAGCTCCACTATCATTAAAAAGCATTTTCCAAAAAGAAAGACTTTGAAATGATTATTAGCCTAAGGAAGAAAGTGTGCTCTTGATGACCTAGGGAAGAAGCCAATGGCGTTATTAAAGTTCTTCCCTGTTAGTCTAAACATGACACGAATCACATGTTAACACCAGGCATGTCCCAACAAATAGCTGAGCTGCTATCCTTCAGGCAAACCAAATGATGAAAAGCAAAAAATGCCAAAGTGATGTGGGATATAGATGATGTGGGAAGTCCTTCTATATATGTGTGGCTCTTATTGGTAAATGAATAAAGGTTTTTTTTTTTTTTGGACTTTGGCAGGGCAGAAAATCGCTAGCTAGAAGAGACATAGAGAGAGTAGGCAGAGTCAAGGGGATGCCATGTAGCTGCCAAAGGCAAAAGATACAAGAACTTTACCTGGTAAGCTATAGCCTCGAAGTGAAACACAGAATAAAAGAAATGGGTTAGCTAAAGATATAAGAGTTAGCTAGGAAAATGCCTGAACTATTGGCCAAACAGTGTTGTAATATATATAGTTTCTATGTGATTATCAGGATCTGGGCAGTGGGGAAATGAAAGAGCACTCTTCAACTACAAAATAACACCCACACATTTGGGGCTAACACACATGCCCGCCACCCACTTCAGGTATGGGTGCTTGTACGCCCACTCGAGGTTAAGAGGAAAGTAGCTGAGAGCATGTCAGCAGCTCAGCACTCACTGTCTGGACAACTGGCCTGATCAAGTCTGCTAGGTGTGCACAGGCAGGAGAACATGGCAGATTCCCACTGCTATACACAGAGACATTTCCAGGCTGCACAACATGCTGCATGGCAGACTTAGCTTTTACTCAGACAAAAAATAAAAAGGTTTCTGTGCTGCATGGTGCTTCCCAGAGTTAAGGTGGTGAGTACAGCTCCCACTCAGCAGTCCCAGAGCTGGCAGTAAGCACACCTCTGCCATATTGAAAGGCTGAGAGAGCCAGGTGGAGCCAGACACCAAGACTGAAGCTTTAATCCTAGCCATATCACTTAGCAGATTAAAGACTCATGTGCTCAGAAAAAGATAGAGATATACAGTGAAGACAGATTCAGACAACAACACCAAAAAAAAAAAAACCCCTTTAAGTTGTTTACAATGTGTTTTAAAAAATGCACATTGGGAGAGAGAAGAAAAAGAATACAGACAGGTATAAAAAGAAATCATAGTGTTAAAAAATAAAACAGAGTCTTTAAAGAGATTGTAAAAGTAATATAAAGGAGTACAGACAGACACAGATTAAAGGAGTAAAAGCAATAGAGAAAAAATAGGCCATGTAAAGATGAAAAATATGCAGAGTCTGATTATGTATATTATTGGGTTTTATTTGATTTTTTTAATTGCAGAAAGACATTTGATTTTTTGGGGCTGCCAAGTTAAACCAACATAAAGGTATCTGGACTTCAAAATTTAGGACTAAGGATATGTTGCTTTAGAAAAGAGGGTCTGCTTTTGTTTCCACAGAAGATGAGAACCTGTGGATTCCTTCCAGGCTAATGTGGTTTGATGGAACAAGAGCCTCAGAAAGGTATCCATGAACCCTAAAAATACTTTGCCCAACAAACATCAGGAAGCAGTATGGAGAAAACAATGCCCAAATCCCCAAAATGATTGTATATAAATGTTTGTTTTCATTTAAAGAAGGATATGATACAAAAATGAATACTTTACATTGGTACAGACGTTGGTCTATTGATACAAATTTAAGGTCGATTTGTAATACTATGTATGTGTGTTTCTGTTCTTGTTTAAGGTATTGTGATTGTGCAGTTCATTTTAAAAGGTAATGTATAATTAAGAAATACAGATTAATAGGTAGTAATTTATAATAGTCAAACTTGTAGTCATATTAGTTAGGTTTTCTAGATGTACAGAGATATATTTCAGAGGGATAGGTTTTCTTCAAATCTTTCAAAGACCTACAGAATATGTCATTTAAAATGTTTTGAGACTTCTCAACAGTGAAACATGTCTTCTTACAGCAGCTCCAATCACTTCAGAGAGGTTATGGGCACTGAAGAAACTTGCTATGGAATTTGCCTTCACTGTGACAAGGCTGGCCATTTGGGCAAGAAACTGCTCTTGCCTGAACTGCTTGATGCTGTGCTGTGTGAGTTGGACGTGCAGGACCCACAGAAAAATGACTGCTGAACTTGCCAAAAGGTGGGACAGTCCTTCAAGGTTCCTGCTTTATGAAAGAGTCTACCAGACATTCTGCAGGACACAGAAGAAAGCAACTGATAAACTTTGCCATTACAAGGCAGAACAGATCTTCAAATTTCCTGCTTCACTGAAAAGTCTGCCAGACATTGTGGCCTGTAGGCTGAAGATCGATGCCCCAATGTCACAAAAGAACTTTGGGTGACTGTACAGACAGCAAGATGTCACTGTCAATTCTAGAACTTTGGAGACTGCTTACAATGCACTTCCTGTTTACTTAGGTAATATATCCTTCTGAGGTCTT